ATTTGCCAAAGGTTAAGAAAACTTATTACCCCATGCCACTTGACAAGCAATCACTTGAAAAACTCTTTTAACTCACTTGAAATACTGAACATTAAAGCGAAACAAATTATGCATTTCTAGCAGGACTGCTCATTGCTTTCTGCAGTCCTTTTGAAAGTGTTGGAACAGGTAATTCCTTTTAAAGCTTTCTCTGAAAGTCAGTTTGTGTAAACAACCCATCTGCAGCAGCCATCAGTTTGGCCTCAAATGACCTGAACACTTGTACTCTGCTAKTTTAGGGTCCTATATCACTGATACCATTCCAGTATTTTTTTCCTTTTTGCCTAGGATGTCAACTGTCAGTGCACTGGATTAAGAACACCAGTGCTATCAGGAAGTGCTATCAGTTCTTTGCTGTAATTCCACAAATGTTTCATATTGTGCTTCTCTTACAGCCTAAGGAAATGTATTTCAACACTGGTCTTGAGATGACTGAAAGTACTTGGAGTTCTCTACTCCAGATTTACCGGGAAAAAATGAAGTGAAATAAAATAGCTTGTTCCTGTCTCTCTTYCAGATCATCTTTGGAATGCTAAAAACCTAAAATTTCTGGTGGTGAAAAAACTCATTCAAGACTAGCAAATTATCACTCTGCAGCTCTATTAGCTTTTAATTAAAGGAAGAGAGAACTTGAAGGACTGAGAATCTGGATAGGACAGAATGCTCCAAGATTAAGTGTACAACATACCAACAACTGCCTCCTAGCACCCAAATACACCTCTACTTGTACAAATTGCATTRAACCCTGAGAGCATTCAAATACAAACTTAACAGACATCAGAAGAGCAGCTGTGTCCCTCCTCCTCCACCTCTACTCACTCTGCTGGAGTGCTCCCTCTCTCCTCTCCAGGAGGATCAGGTTGCCTCCTACCCATTTCTTTTTGCTAAGTAGCTCACAAACCTTTCTATCAACGGAAGCTCAGGCTGCTTGGGCCTTTAATACACAGACATCAGCAGCTTCACCTGCGAAAGGGACAAGCAACTGCAGATACCTCACTGTTACCTTCTCACGAGTGCTCCAGACAAGGAAAGCATGCAAGAACATATCAAAAAACAACTTTATGCCACAACACTCTCTCAAAGCTGCTTTCTTCAAATGCTGGACAGAGCTTTATATTTTCTTCAATGCTTTTCCAGAACACTAATCTCATATGCCCTACTGACTACAAGAATCTTGAAAATGTTTATCTCAGCAGATGACAAAATTTATGACTTTCTTCCATCCCTTAAAGTCAGAGGACCAAAGACTGAGAACTTTACAAAGAATTGAGTTAATAGATAGAAAAACAAGGCAAATTAATGACATTTAAGCCAAACCAACATAACTTGGCTAWGAAAGACTCTGGCAGAATCTGTATGAAACAACTTCAGAATTTGATCAAATGTACCCATCTCCATGTGCAGTCCCTAACAAAACAGACTTTTTTCAATAATCTGTCTAGAATTATGGATTAAAACCACATTTTTGTTAAAGGCCAAAAGTAGTAGAAGGGTCATGACTAGAAACTGGATATAATGAAATATCCGTTWCAACTTAAAGGTACCTTAAGACCTACAGGCAAAATTCACATCTTCACCATATGTTCTAATGTCTACAACAATAAAATCACAATGCAATTTTGATTCTTTTTCTGATTGTTGGTGTTCAGTTTTGCATTCTAAATTATRTAGTTGATAACTTCAGAATCTTGTTAATAAATTCACCTTCAATTCTTATTAATAGAATTTCGGCAATTCACGCCAAGTCAAGGTTAATAATATTCTCATCAAAAAAAAAACCTGTGTTTTAATAACAAAGGTCTTGATGAAAGTTAGACAAGGTATTTTAAGTTTGTGATTTATRAAATCAAAATAGGAATAGTTTCATCTTTGTTCTAACCTATCAAAAAAAATCCTGGCTTATGGGACAAGTATTAGCATTTTTTTAATCAAAACTATTTAACATTCTTAGGATGACAGTTTCATGGGGTTTTTAGAATAGATTTTGTGGGCTGGGTTTTTTTTAAACACATTTCAAGAGAATCACGACACTGGAATTGAGGAACAGTGAAAATTTGTGACCGTRCCTCACCATATATTTTTCACAGGAAGATGTTCTAGTTCCCGAGACAAATTATTATGCAACTATGTACAAAAATCATGGCTTATTCATTTGATTTAGTCTAGAAAACTGACACTATATTTTGGAAATGGACAAAACCTTCTAGAAGCATTTTTCTATTTGCAATGTGTTTTCCATTCAGTCACTTGTMCTGTACTGTCTCACAGTGCATTCTGATTCTGTAGACATGAGGACACTTTTTTGTGAGAGGTATCTGAGRTGTGCTTGGTGTTGTATTGCAAGGACTTCTGATCAGACTGTGGATTACTTGGAACTGTAAGCTACAGTACTGAAAAGCTACACCTGATCGGGTTCCTGGTTTCTTACTTTTCTTCATGTTTTTCACTACAAACATATACAGTTTTAAGTACATTAATTTTCTAATAAATCTGCACATTCTTACATTACCATATTAATAACAATCTTACATCAGGCATCTGCATGTTCTTTATCTGCAAAAGGGGGTACAGATCAGCATTTTCAGCAGGATTCAAGATACCATTTCTCAGATGTTGACACAAATGGCATAACCCGTGAGGGAAAGCACAGTGACAACACATCTCCCCAAACTTCTGTTAGTGGGAGGACAGAAAAAGAGGGGACTAAAGACTAAGTCTTAGCTGGGAACAGTGAGTTCTGTGAAGCTGCAGTGACTTCCAGTGACAAYGTATTTGGTCTTAAATGCCTTTTGTTCCTTTGCAATCTAGAAGAGTCACATTTCAGATAGCACATTTTGATCAGTACATTCCTGCACACACAAATCTTTCTTTTGTAACAGATGTTCTGAAATTCCTTTCAGAATTGACACATAGCACTACAGAAATACAGTTCTACTACAAAAGTGCATTTCTCCACTGTGGGCTTAACTTTTTCCTGTCCTAATATCCAGAAGGGAGTATGACCAAAACTGGTACAGCATCACACCACCCCACATGAACTCAGTGTATTGACTGCACTTGTAAAAATAAGCCTAACTATGCCTTCGATCAAGTAAATTACTCCTACAGTAAATTGCTCAGTAATCCTGATCTCTGTTGTGTCAGATAAAGTCTTCTCACTACCACAAAATAAAGTCTTCTCACTACCACAAAAAACAAAACACGAGCAGAGCAAACCAGACAGAAACATCTTATCTGGAAGCATGACCAAATTTGAAAATCACTGCTTCTAAATACACTAAGGACAAAAAGCTTGATAAATGGATTTTGACTCGGCCATTTGTAAGTACTGCATATTTTCGTAACTTAGAAATATAACTGAATAAAATTCTGCTCTTAGATCCCCCTATGTCAAGCCAGCATCTTTGCAAGAACTCCACAGACAAAAACTCAAAATGGCTCTCTTGCACCTCTGCAACTAAAATACCAGTAACCCTACTCATCAGAGTCCAAAAACTCGACAGTTTTGCAAAAACCACAAGCACTGCTTATAGTCTGTGACTGATTAGAAGTTCCTCTTTTATCAGTCTCATCTTCCTCATTCATAGCCCACAAATGCACTCACTATGCATTATTCACAGCTGAGGTGCTTTCAGACTCTTGTCCCCTTCTACAAATTTTTAAAATGAAGTATAGCCAAGGCTTTGAAGTTGACAACTCTGGCCTTACTCTTTTGACCCCCAGGATCCTACTTATTAATATGAAGTGTAACAACTTCAAGAGACATTCACACAGTAGGATAACCAGCACCTTGGCAGGGTTTCCTTTTTGCTTGATTTGAAACAGATAATTATCCTTTCATTTTCCCCAAATCTGAACGCACACCAGTCACCATGCTGTTCAGCATGCTGCAGAGATGGATCTCTTTTGCTCCCTAAGGTTTTATGTAGATTTTAAATCATGAAGGTGTTAATTGCCTACATAGAACCAGAAACAGCAATCCAGCAAATGCTTACTTGTTCCCATGCTGAGATCCTGGACCTTGTTTTAGTTAATGAGTGGTTACTACATTTAACATCAAATTATCTCCAGGTYCCATAGGTAGCATAATGAAGCCAAATAGAAAATTTTCAAAACCACCCTTCCACCRTGTTAAGCCTCATAAAAATAAAGTACATTTTTAATGATGGTTGCGTTTTACTGAGACACTTCAACCACAGATGCGTGCACAAGACCGGGGGCCTGGAGAAGCCTGCATAAAGCTCTGATTTTTTACATATACTACAACAGCCTGAAGGAGTATCTAATAGAGCGAGCTTCCTTGTGTAATGCTAGAGAAAGGAGTTTGCCTGAACACTGGACAAAGAAATGAGAGGAATGGGGAGCTGGAAGAGAATGGAGGGCAGGCTGCTGAGGGCCAAGTTTTTCTGTCTCAGATAGTGGTGTACCTGCAGCATTTCCTCTGTTTTCTGCAGTGCTGCRACAGAGAAGCAGGCTCCAGATGGAACCTGGAGATGGAGTGGAGCCTTATTACAGCTGCAGTGAAAATTAAGTGTGTGACTCCCACCACAACTGCACCACAATTCTTGTAGCTTTTCCTAGAGAAGYGGGCTAGGATGACAACTTTATCTCCGCACAAAGAATGATCAACCAGTGCAGCACATCTACAAGGAAACATCCCTGCTGGCCACCCATAAGGTCYGAAAAAACAATATTATCTGTGGACTAGGAAGCAAAATTAGCTCACCATTTTGTTCTGTGTTAAGAAATGAATACGTCATAAACCATTAGTTATGAAATTCCAAAAATTCTCCAACCAAAGGTGTTAGAAAAAATGGTAAAGGAAAAATATTAATTAATTAATTAATATAATTAATGCTTCTAGCACAAAGTTTTAAAATACATTCTCAACTTTCTATCTTYTCATTTTTACTACCTAGTTACCTCCACAGAATGGATGCAAAAAAGATTTTCATCGGCATATTTAATGAAAAACATTTCTTTCAAGCAAGGCACAAGATTTAGGTTTATTTAATTTGATTAATCCCAATTTTTTACATTAAGTACAAAAACCAACTTGAACGTAGGTGTAAATACAATTCCACAAAGTAGTTCAGTGAGACTTAAAATCATATCCAGAACTGTAAAGCACAATTAAAAGCAGCCCAGGATATACAGATTGCTTACCATAACTGTTGAAAGAGCTCATAATGTATCAATATATTTAACAACCTCCACCAATAAGTTACCTCCTTTCTAATCTTTCATTTAAAATGCATTTAGCAATTCTGTACCTAACAAAGAAMGCATTAAAGAATGAGAAGTGCAGGTAAGTTTTACTCAAGCAGAGGCCTAACTTAAACATACACAATCAAAAATTAAACAACAGAACAATGACTTCAATATTTTGAACATTTCTAAGAACATAAATGYTAAGATAATATAGAAAAATAGCCACAGGCTCCAAGACTTACTTACTTCTCAAAGAACATATGGTGTACTGTAGCTGCCTGAAATATTTTAACAATTATAGAAAATTGTATCTCTAAGTTTGGTACGTTCATGTTTTCTAGGTGACAAACATACATTTAAGACAACCATCAACTTATTTACAGTTAGAAGCTTATTCCTTTTAAAATCTGTATTAAAAAAATCGGTTTTGGCACTATCCCTAAGGCAATAGATGATATGATGGCAAATGACATAATGAAARCATAACAAGAAGAAAATAATCTTTAACTTAAAAGAAACTGTGAGATTATAATTACAGAGGACATTAAAGAATCAGCACATCTAAGTCACTAAAACGCCCTATCCAAAATACTGAGGATTCTTGCTATAYGCAACAGGAAATTTCTTTTATCTGTGAAGCCCCTGTGCCTTGTCTTGTGGGAAAACCCAATATTTTTATGKTTATTAAGCTATCCAACTAGTTTTATTACCAGAAATTAGCAAAAAAATTTAAGACCATGAATTTATGTTTTAATGTAAGCAGAAAAACATTACTCTGAAGTCCAACCTTTGCTAACTGTCTATTTAAAAAACCCCAAAGGTAATTTTTTCATTCACTACACTGAGTAAAGACCACAGCATCAAATATTTTTATTGATATGAATAGTTTTAACTTCCTTTTTGCAYTTCCATCAGCTTCAGTGATAGCTGACCGTGATGTTAATGTCAATTTCCGAGTGTTGCCACATTTCCACTGCAAAGACTGCAAGTCCAGATCTCATAAACTTTGGATTTAATTTAAATGTTAAAATAATCTTTGCATTTATCTTAAATTTATAAAAAGATTTATTTTTCAAAACTTAAGGCAAAAAACATATTTTATTGGTYATGTTTAAGTCCGAGAAGGTGTATGAGGCTGTTTAAATATCAAAAAACTAACACCATATACAGTATTAYCAACAAAAGTAAAGAATAAGGCAGCATGCACCCTTAAGATGAAAAGAAAATTTAATTTTACAAGATGTTTAAATAATCCAAAGGCAAAAAGTGTCTGTCTCCTCTAAGAATATCTTCATAAAACATGGAAATTTTAGAGGAATGTTTYAGAGGACATCAAGTTACTAAAATATTCCGTTCAACGTTTATACAAATACATTACTACAATTGTAAGTTTACATACAATCAACTGACATCTCAGTGTTAACTAATTACTTAAATTTACAAGACAAACATAAATAAAGCTGTTAAAACAGGCAAGTACAGTACTGATCTATCATTCAGCACAATGCATTTTGTACTTCTTTCACCTTGAAAAGAATCAGATTAGAATTGTGCGAAGTCGATCTCCAAACCTAAAAATAAAATAAAAGAGAATTAAGTATATCTATGCAGGTTTTACACAGCATGGGCATATTCCAAATGCTTAAGTCCTGTTTTCAGGYATGTGATTTACCATTTAGCGACCTTTTGTCTGTTCTCAGAAGAGGCCACAGTCTTTAAGGTTATTTTTAATAATAACATCAGTTACAGCATCAAAAACAAACTGCACATTTTTTGTGTCTGTGGCACACGTGAAGTGAGTGTAGATTTCCTTTGTGTCTTTTCTCTTGTTCAGATCTTCAAATTGACACTGAATGTAAGCAGCTGCTTCTTCGTAGGTGTTTGACCCTAGAAGAAGAAAATTGTTCAGTAAGCAGGTTTCCAACAAAGGAACAAGATGCAAACTATCTTTGAAGGAAGTGGTTCTTTGGACAGTTAACCTAAAACTTAAAGAGTATTTCCACAGGCAGTGCTTTAAGATACCATTAAAAAAAACTTTGGGAGGAGACCTTTCGGATGCATTTGTAAGAATGAAAACTTAGTACTCAATTCAGTTCCAGGGGCAGGARTAGTCTTTCCATTTACTTCAGTGCCAGAGGAACAAGTCATTAATGACCCATCACTTTTTCGAGATTAGGATATTTTTTTTTTTCCTTCATTCAAGTTACATACTCTCAATTTTTATGTTTTTAAAGAATTTGGGGTTTTCCCACACTCAAAGACTCTTGACAGGCACATCTCTCTTAAGCTTTTTACCTCCAATGTWTTTTCTATACAGTGCAGGAGTCTGAAGTTACAATGATGTATAAAAATACTAAGACTTGTTTAATGAATTCATCCTCGTTTGCTATGTATTTCCTGACTAAGCCACATATGAAAATGTATGTATGCTCCCCGTTCAAAACCTCTCATGGATCTCAGGAATTCTTACTTACATCGAAGTACAAAAGTAGCAGAACATTAGGAATAAGAATGGGCTAAATAAACAAGCCTGAACAGTTGTAGCAGTAACAGGTAAATGCTACCAGCGGACCAGCATTATTTCACCTGGTTAAAAATACTTAAGCAATATTTTATTTCTGATCCATCAAAACAAACCATCTTAAACTTTATGTCATATAAATGTTTTAAGTGCCGAGAGTTATATAACTCCTCGTATTTTGTGCATCAAAAATTTCCTTGACATCTGTACACCCCTCCAATACCTGCATATTCAGGGTAGCAAATAGTGAGGGGACTTCTTTTTATCTTTTCTTCAAAAAGATCTTTCTTGTTCAGGAATAGAATAATAGATGTGTCTGTGAACCATTTATTGTTGCAGATACTGTCAAACAATTTCATGCTCTCATGCATCCGATTCTGTAATTGAAAAAAAAMATCACTTTGTATTTTATCAAACTTCAGTAGTAAAATCAGATACATATTTTTGATTAGTTACAAATGAACCAGTTACAAAGAAGTTTTTAGCAAAAAAAATCACACTTTACTGCAGGGAAATACRGAGAGGCCAAGACTACCACAAAGATCACTTCCACAAGCAGGGTTTAAGCAACTACTTTTTCTCATTTCCAGGTTTAAGTTTTTAATATTTCAGAAATTTTCATGTGTTCTGACATTTTGAAGTACAGATATTCTACAAGAATTGCAGAGTTACCTGAATTTATCTTAATACCGATTAGATCTTCTGGAAATTGAAAATAAATTCTGTTCCTAGCCGATATTCCAGAATAAGGAAAAAAAGCTCTACAAAACTAGCGAATCAAATAAGCAGGTATTTTAACTCTTACCATAATTTTTAACTCTGCAGAAAAATTATCCCTTCTGTCTGTAAATACTTTGGCCAAGTTCCAGTCATTTAAGTAGCAGGATGCTAGCTATGACCTTCTTTGACTATACTTGACTTGAAAGATTTTGTTATTTCTCTCTCCTCCCCAAATTATATTTTATAGCAAGTTGCAGAAAACAAGGAAGAGCACAAAAGTCTGTTAATGATTCACATACAAGAGGTAAGCATCACTTCAGACCACTCAAGACAGTAAAATGCACCCTGTGCACAGTGACACGGAAGGAGTAAATTCTTGAAAGAGGAGAAAAGAGCCGAGGGTGTTGRAAAGGAAAAAGAAGAGAAACATTTCTGCAACTAAGATAAAAGATTGGAGAAACACAGTTAGAAACAAAAACTGAAGACTAAGAAAGGAAAGGAAAACAAAATGTGGTAAAACAGATACAGGTAAGTAAGAAAATTTTACTATGTACTTCTAGCATCCATACAGAGACTAAAATGTGTATTACTGACAATGTATTCCCAATCATTTATGCTTCCTATGAAACACAAAAAGAATAGCTAAGAGAATCCTTGTCTCTTAGTATTCCTTCTGAGAAGATGATGAAATACTCTGGAACCCAAAAGCATGAATTCTATCACCATTTCACTCATTTCACTGAGACCTTCTGCACAAACCCCATACATCTTATTAAAGCAGTAATAATTCAAAAGACCTATTTATAGCTTTCCTTCCAAACTTAGCTTCTGTCCAACAACTATTCCCTTTTTCAACATTATGGTACTTGCCATTTCCTCRTCTTCAGCCAACACCAAGTCATAATCACTTAGTGCCACACAAAAAATAATTGCTGTAACACCCTCAAAACAATGAATCCACTTCTTCCGCTCTGATCTTTGGCCTCCAACATCAAACATTCTGCAAAACAGAAGGATAAAGCAGGGAATGAACTTTGGAATTTCCAGCTTTCTGAATATTAACCAATAAAATAYGTATCAACTATATATAAGTCTGAGCACAATATCTTAAAAACAAGTWAAAAAAAGTAACATTAACTACTATTTTTTCTAAGTCTCAATTTTAACAAAGCCTTAAAAGCCTTCCTGTATGCTTTASAGAACATGAGAAAGTATGAGACAGAAGATAAATAAAATTAATTATTTACAATGTTATGTTTCATTAACAAAGTTAATTTTATTATGTATAAAAAAAAATAACAAGAGTTAGCTTTACTAAAATATCTAAAAYAATAAAAGATACTGATCAATAATGTGGACTCTTATTCCTGGGGATTTTTAGCTCCTCTCTGTCCTAAATCAAATTACAACTTAAATCTGCTCTTCAACTGGCCATGTTTAAATGGGATTTTTTTTAAGAGATTATCTTAAAAGACAAAGTAAGCATTACATAGTAAAAATAACCCTAATTTTCTCTCTAATAAATGCATTGTTTGGAAATGCAGTTAAGTCTCACATATGATACACTTGCTGATGTTGACTTGTATTTTTTGATAATTATCCCCCTTTCCTGTTTTCCATGAGTTGTAAGATTTCAAGGGTAGGACAGGTACAAAAAACCAATTTAATGCTAGTGCACTACATAAACATGCTAAATTGCACTTGAAGACATTCAATTACAGTTGTTATTTTTAGATATCTTCAAGYGTTCTAAGTTGCTAGATTTTAATTTGAAAAAAACACAGCAAAGTAAGTAGAGAAAGAAAYTAGAAGAAAAAGAAAGACCCTTTGCTTTCTCATCAAAAACTGTCAGAAACACTGCAACCTCTGTCAAGGGCYTCTATTTGGGTAAACTACTGCAGTAAGTGACAATGCTCACTGCCCTTTTAATGTTCTAGATTGAGATAATACCATGATAAAAACACTTGAAAGACTATTCCTGGTGAAAAAGGATTCCTTAGAGGTGTCCCTTACCTTCAGAAATATCTTTGAAGGGAAGTCTTTGGATTTCACCCTATACAAATGCAAGCCAGTCACTTACTACTCCTATTTAGTTCTCGAATATTTAGCAATGGCTGTCCCCATAGAAGATATTTTGGCATGCATACCTTATTAACCAATCCCTTAAATTTTAGTAATTACTTCAATTCCAATGCTATGCTTCTTAACTTTATACTGAGACCTGAATTTCCATAAGAATTAACACTTCTATAAAAAAAGCGTTCTTTGAACACAAAGGTAGTAAATATCAGACTCAACTTTTGGAATATTCTAGAAAAACAGAAACAGGATGAAGATGACTTGCTATTTGCATTTTCAATTGAATCAATAATCAAAGCTATGCTAAGTGCTTTACAGAGAAGGCTGAATTGAGGCTMAACCTGAAAGAATCTAAACACACACACAGCAGAACAGGAAAGAAAAGATAATGAAAGAAAYTGATCCTGTGCAGCTCATCATACTTGTGTACCTTTGTCTTAATATAATCGAGGCTTTCATGCCTTTGGTTCAGCTTAAAAGTTTTTGTGTTATGTAAGAGTGTACTTCAAGCCCTCCTAATAACTCATTAAGCCTATTGCCTAAGGCACAGGTAACAGGTGTTTGAATACACAACATTACAGCTAAATATTTCCAAAGGCCTGGCTCAAAGACTTTTTATAGAAGCATAATCATACGGTCTCTGTAAGCYGGAATAAACAGAACAAACTGGACCCATCTACAACAGGGAACAAGAAACATTAGAAAGTGAGAAGATGGAGAGCTCCTGAGAATACAGAAATCCTCTCCTGAGACTTGGCTAAGGACTATTATCCTTAGGTTTGCAAGAGATTATTCACCATTTATCAGTTATTCTTTGTGGATTAATRCAAATTTTGTATTCTTAAACCCAAAAAAAGGAAACAATACAGATTTCCACAGTACTGATGCATCCATATTTTAGTACTTGCTGTGTATTTCCATGAGAAAAAGTATGTTCCATGAAGATACTAAGCAAATGTGCAAGACAGACATGCTGACAACAATTTCTGCATAATCTAAATGCAAATTTAATGTGTGTTTTACTGAGTTTTCTTCTCATTCTTCCTCACCAGTAGTAGGTAGAGTACTCTGATGGTTAACACTACCTTGTGTTTTAACCTTGAATGCTGCACATGGATCAGTGCAAACTTTTAGTAAGAGCATGTTGTGAGAGGACAAGGAAGAATTACTTCAAAGTGAAATACAGYRGGTTTAGATTAGATATTAGGAAGAAATCCTTTACTGTGAGCGTGATGCGGCACTGGAACAAGATGTCCAGCGAAGTTATGGATGCCTCAACCCTGCTCAAGGTCAGGTTGGATGGGACTTTGAGCAAACTGGTCTAGTGGAGGCATTTCCCTTTACACTGCAGCAGGGTTAGAACTAGATGCTCATTAAGGTCCCTTCCAACCCAAACCATTCTATGACTCTATGTTTTTGGACACAAAATGCTCAGAATACTATTTTATAAATCCTGCACCACAAAAAAACGTAAGTTACATTCTTTCATCTCTAAAATTCTACCKTAATTCAGCTCTTCAGGAAAATAGATTTATTCTTCCACACAACACTAGCAAACTTTTATAAGCCTCCAGTTCTCCAACAGAATTTAAAACAGGAATCCAACAGAACAACTATCTAACACAGCAGAAAATGCAATATTTTGTTTTGAGATTTAATTTATATCAACAGCATCCTAACAAAACATTTTCAATAAAAGCAAAACATTTATTGGAGCTTCAACAACTCTCACATGATATCAGAAAATTGAGTGAAGCAAGGGAATTTTCTTTTTTTTCATTAAAAATTGGACGGAAATAATCAAACTTGTGATTAGACAAATTTGTTAAATTACACCATTGAATGCCATATTCTATAATTTTACAGGAACTTTAATGGACAGATGACCATGCAGCATGATTTACATACTTAAAATGAAGATCTTTGAAMGTAAAGTGAGTTTCCACTATTCCTGTAGTTTTCACTCTAGTCCTGAGAACGTCCTGTTGAGTTGGAATGTAGCTGGTTTGTGCTATCCTGTCCAAGTCATTCAAGTAACTAAAGGTAAAAACAAACGCTGCTTTCAGTTATTCATAAAACACCAACAAAATAGTTAAAAAGAATTACAGTTCAARGTCCATTCATTACATTGTACTTGAATTTTATAAAACAGTTTTCTCTGAGACACAAAAGACACACAATATCCCTCAAATTTCCAAGTTTTTTTAGAAAAAAATAAGCTTTAGAGATACAATATTTCATCCATTTCATCCTAGACAAAAGATGACTTATCCCATTTATTCCACTACAAAGAATTCTTCTTTAGAAAATCCAAAACACAAACACGGCTCCATATACATCAATGTTATTTGAACTAATTAGARAACATCTTAATCTTTGTAACCCACTGAACTGCAGCTACTTTGAACCATAACCATAGCCTATCTCTATTTGATAACAGATATGAAAAGAATAACTCAGTGTTTTGGCAAGAATTTATGYGTGTAGGAAAATGCCTAATACATAACAATTAACTTTCTATTGAGACTTTCTAATCGTAGATTTTTTTTTAAATTAACATGCTTTCATTGCCAAAATTCCTGCAATGTAGGCCAAGTCCAGTGTTTCCAAAAACCATACAACCCTTACTTGTATCTATATAGTAAACAGGGAAGGCATTATGTTCTATTTTCTATGTAACAAGTTAACAATTTTACAGATACATTTATAYGGCTAGAAGAAATGTTTTCTTATGAAACCTGAGGCAGAATTGTCTAGAACAACAAAATAGAACACAGGAGGTTACCACAGGAGAGTATGTGAATCTCCAAATGAAGTTCTCCATATGGAAGAAAGTTTATACAAATGAGAAACAACTTCAAGCACTACAGAATACTTCAAAATTATAAAGTTTAAAAAAATTGCACTATAAGGCAGTATCACTGCTATTGCCATTCTTTATTAATGTCTTATTTTCTTACTGAACTGCCCTGGCATAAAAGATATATTCTAATTGTTTCTTGGCTCAACACATTTCCAAGAGACCATTAATTAAGAATGAAAGCGTAGCAGTGTTGAAATAGGAAAAAATTTCATTATGAACACRAAAGTAGTATCCTTGGTAATACATGTACAGATTATGTCATTACATTTTTTGGACATGTTTAGTTAATGTAAAGGTACTTCAGTCATGTTTTTCTAATAGAAATGCTATTTAAGAACCTTAAAGCAATTTTTGTCTCCTTAAGGAGAAAACACCTGGTCAGAACATGATAAGCTCATAATTACACTATACCTCTTCTTTTCCAACCTCAAAGCTTTGTTGCAGCATTTTGACCCAGGCAGACATTATCTTTGTCCAGATATTTCTGTAGTTTCCATCTACGTGGGAGCAGAATTTGTCAAAAGATRACACCTTATACTTTTTTAGCTACTAGTTAGAAGGCAAAGAGAATCTTGTCTGTCACACTGTACTTACTAGGCAGCAGAGTCATTGAGCTGGTATTCTCGAGATCTGTTGAAACAAGCTTGAACCCCACTGTCTTTCCACAGCCTCTTGATAACTCCAGCAAGCTCTGAAGTCATAAATCCTTCTTCTGCTGCTCCAGCCAACACAAAGAGCTGACGAGCATCATCCTTTAGGATGTAAACACAAAGCATAGAGAGAAATATTGAGAAACACAACAGAAGTATTATCGCCTAAGAACTATATTCAGCAAATGTGTTACTTAACCTGGTAAATGTGAATGTAACCAAACAAAACAGTGTGAAAGAAAAACAATTAATTTTAGTGTTCTGCATTGGATATTAATTTCTACATTTTCAACAACAGAAAAAGACTAGAAAACTGAATTTCTCATTAGCTGATAAAGTTTCTTCTTGTGTGTTTACAGCTTGAGCAAAGTTTTTATAAACAGTAGTAAAATATTTTGTGCTCAAACCTTAAGTTAACCATATTTGCTCACAAAATACCACTCACTGGAGAAAATGGTGACAATACAGACTAACCCCTTCAGAAGTGAAGATTCGTATCGAGTAACTGAAGAAAACAAATTAATTCATTTTAATTAATTACAACTTTGAAAGTGRCAAATAATCACTTCTACCCAAATCATGCATCAGGAATTAGAAAAATATTTCCTAAAACCTTTCCAGATAAATCAGCTGCAAATATCCATTGTCTTAATTATTCTGCAGAGACCAGGTTTTCTTGGTAATGCAATATCAAGAAAACATCAAGGTTTTTAAGAGCAAATTATGGATTTTAAAACTGTATGTAATAACTGGGTTTGAGAGTGAGGCTAATGGAGTAGTGGATGTAAAGCCACCACTCCCCTTTCACAGAATTTGACCAGTTGACCAGTGACATCCAATTCTGACTGAGCAAGGAAACTTAATGTTAGACCTGTAAGGCACTGGAAAAAAGAAAGCAGATGGGTATAGGGCAGATCCACATTAGTACTCTCCTGTGGATAGCTGCTTGACCTTGTTATTAACAGAATATAATCAAATGCCAAGGTACGTCAGCCAGAAAAATCAGCTTGTAACTACTACCCACAGCATGTACTGTTTGTCCAGTAATTAAAGGAAAAAGAACAATGAATCTGGAAAGGAGGAAGGAGAAAAAAGAGACTTAGACACATCAGCTGGGAACTGAAAGTATTTCAAGAAAGAGGAGGATTTTTAAAAGCAACATACAAGGTTATTCTCACAAAACTGTACATAAAGAACAGAGATGCAAACCTGTAAAAAAAWTTGTCACTTTGCTGTTAAAACACTAAGCAGAGAGAAAAAAAAAAAACATTTTCAGGATAAGGACAGAAAGTAGTGATTGTTCTAAAGATACTGTCCACTGCAGACCTAAATAATCCAAGATTACGTGAGCTAACAGGGAAATTGTTTACAGATGGATTGAATAATACTGAGTTTCAGAGGCTGAAAACAAAAGGCTGACACTCCAGTGAAYTCAAGGCAAACCTGAAGAGATTTAAACATACATGTACATTTGCAGGTACACATATGAAGAACAGGTATCTGATGTCTTTTGAAAGGTAGAATAGGTGGAAATCTAAAAGAATATTTGTCAAACAAAAATACTGATCACTATACATACACAGGACAAATTGTGGATAAATAGAAATTTAATGTATTGCAATAATAATTACATAAAAAACCCAGAGCAGTAAAGATACAAGGGTTGGATAGTCATATCTCAGGGACTTTAATTTGCGCACTATGCCTGCATAAAAGAAAACCTGAATGACAATTCTGGTCTTGAATATTGTTTGTGGATGAAAATGTAGGGATCTAAAATTCATAAAAGCAGAAAATCTTTTTCATTAACCCCATCTGTATTACSCCATCTTCCTTTTACTAAAGAGAGCAACTACCACAGACACAAGTGAGGCCGTATGCAATGATCAAGTCCTTTTTTCATCATTAATCAATGCTAGATACTTTCCCTTAGTTACAATGAAATGTGGCAGCTTCCTCTACAGGTGTCATTCTTTYTAATCAGATTCCATACATGAGGTAATGTAAAAAAACTAACACAAACATCTCTCTAACTAGAGCAAATATCACATTTAGAAAGTGGTCCCTAGCCCTTTGAAGCACATTCACTAAATGGTTCTCAAAACACASTTTCTACTTGAACTATCCTGTAGCACCCGATTTAAAACTGACCATTGCTGAAGCTGCTGACTGTCATCTGTGCTCCCTTGATTCAGTAAAAAGATTCTTGAAAAAAGAGWATGTTTAACTCACTGCTTGATCATTAGTCTCGTGACAAAAATAAGAGTATATGATTTTCAAAAAGATCCTAGCCCATTTAGAGTAATACCCTCAGAAATTTAAGGAAAATAATCTGACTGAAATGGTTCGCACCAGGAGTTACCATGTTGAGCTTCCCCCCCCCACCAAGAGACAACAAAAATAAAAGAAAATATAATAAAATTGAAAATATCTGAGGTATAAACATACTAGTACTAACATCTAGTGCTAATGTTCCATAGCAATGCTGCTCTGAAAAAAAAAAGAAATTTGGACTACCAAAACCTGACTAAATGCAAAGCAACGGACAGCTATTTTAAGATTATTCCTGACAGAAGTTTGCCTCATCATTTATATAGCTCTCTAAATCTGAGAAACTCAGACARCTTAAAACTGACATCATATATAACATAGCCCTCAGAATCTTCTTGTTAGTCATTTTATCCGCTAACACCTAAATTTACTCCTCCTCTGTTTTCTCTTACTACGCATTTAGTAACACAAGTCTACCATCTGCCTCTTTCCAACATTAACTGCCAGACTCCAGAGAGGACGGCACAAACACTGAACTAACAAGCAATGAAATATTGTCGATGCTCTGCAAAACTTTGGTCTTAAGGGCAGACTACAGCAAACATGAGAGCAAATGTAGAAAGGAATAACCAATGAAACTGAAGCTTTTACTAGTTATGCTTACAACTGAAAAGACATCAGACAGAATTAACACATGTACACAAAATAATAGCTATAATAGGCTAACTGTGAATCAGATTTAGATTTCAGATACAACTTTATGACTCACTATACATAATCTTACAAATGTCTTCCTTATGACAACCATACATACTTCATTTTAAGGTTACTGAATGAATACTCTGTAACATTTATAAAATGCTTTTCAAGACACCAACAAAATCTTGAACACAAGACTGTCAAGAATGAAGAATCTACATCCTGTTTCTTTTTAAAGACYCTCCTCTCATCCTAAACTCTAAATTCATCTTAAAGTGATGGAAAGAACATATGACAAAATAACTTCCTGACTACCTTACATATTTATTTCAATACATGAACAGCAAAACCTTTCCTCTATCTTTCCTGTGAGGCTGCTCCAGTGCGACAAGCTCCTGCTTCAAAACTAGTACTGGTGAGCATTCTGCACTGTGACATTGATTTCTATGGGAAGGAGATAAAAGCATACATCCAGAACCAAGTTTAACTGCTATTCAGACTAACAACTTTGGGGATCAATTCCAGCATTGCAGCACAGACTGTACACAGTCCTGTAATGGGAAGACAAGCAAAACCACTWAAACTGAGCATTTTACAGATATTCCAAGCATCCACCTGCTTGACCAAACATGGATGTAATCAGGATCACRAGAGGTAAAAGCATAGGATTATGAATAGAGATAACTGGTGGAGTGGCAAATAAACTTATCATAGGTTTGCATGTGGGACATTACATGAAATAAGATGGAAAACGTGCAGAACAGCTTAGCAAAGTCTCATTTATTGAGAAAAATCCCAAGATGGGCATGATAAAAWAATGGGGTCCCAGCAGCAGATCCATGCCCATGCCTCTGCTTTGAGTAAAATAAAGTCCTCAGCACTGGAAAACAGGATCCAGCTCAGAGGCTGGCAATGTCTCAGGTACTGCTGTTCCTATGACCTGATAGAGAAATGCCAGACAGTACAGTACAGAAGTAGCTACATGCCTCCCTGTTTAAGCTGTGTTTTTTCAGGAATCTGAAGATATCTAACTTAAATGACCTAACAGCCTACAAGTCCATACAGAGACAAGACTATAGACTCCCTAAGACTCAGATATTTAGTTCTCCAAATTTAGACAGAATTCAGAAAATAATATCTAAACCAAACAGTCACTGTGAATCAACCCCAGTGCTCCACAGGTCACCTGGCCACGTAAAGACCAAAGGCAAGTTTTCAAATACCTTACAAAGAAAATTTCTGAAAGAATAGAATGGATATTTCAGCTGTATGTCTGTGTGTTTACTTCAATACTCACAGCCCTGATTGGATCACCAAAGTCTATCTTCAACCTCCCCATTGCTCTAATGATAGCAATAATGGACTGAATGGTGTTACTGTAGACAACAGCTTTGTACTGTTTACATTCTTCTTCTGAATAACCAGCTTCATGGATAATCCTATGGAAGAAAACAAAAATTAATTCCCTATTCAAATTTAAAAAATTGTCTTTCATAGTATTTCACTACACTTACTTCATTTGCTTGACAATTGTGCTTTTCCCCGATTCACCAGCTCCTGAAAAATAAATGTGTGAAAATTTGTTAGACTTCTACTAATCTTWGAAAACATGTTTTATTTCTACACTTCAAGTATCTAATAAACACAAAAACCTTCAATAGGTAAAAGAACATGTTACAAACTGATTTTTAATATAAAAATGCATCTTTAAATGGAAATTTCAAAATCAAGCCATTTTAAGAACAAATCATTCAGTTGTCAAGAGCCTTTTCTTTTTACAGAAGTGAGCATAATCTTTACAGTCTGCTGGTGTTTCTAATGCGAACAGATGAGAAGTTGCTTAACTTCAACGGGATCTGAAGCTTAATTCCTCTAACTGCCTTTTTAATCAAACCCCAACAGAAATACCTTCTTCACACTGTATTAATGGTCTTCCATATTGCAAATGAACACCTTAAAACTCTTCAAGACTTTAGTCCTTGTAATCATCTTTTGAACCTTGCATGAATAAACCAAGAGTCAGCCCACTTTTTGTTAGAATAGATGGMAAGAGGTTTGCCAGTCAACCTGATACTATTTTTAGTGCTTACAGACAACAACAAAAAACCCTATGTTAAAATACAAAGCTTAGAAAAACAATATCTCYGCAAACAGACATAAAAAGATGCAGTTTTTGCAGTCTCAACAATCTATCTTTAGTCTGCTTCTTCCTCTAAAAAATACATGGAACTCTTACAGCAGTGGTCTTATCCCTTTAGATAGCACACTCCCAGTTTGTCTGAGGTTTGTGCTGAAGTCTTTCTCTTACAGTTCCTGTTGCTCAGCACAGCTTTKCAGAAGTGAGTACAATCTTCATTCAGTGTGCAGGTATTTCTACAACAGAGAGATCACCCACTGTGCAACTCCAATATAACCAAAGAAAACTCTGGCCACAGAAAGGCATTGATAAAGGCTATACTTATTCATTTCCATAAAGAAGGCAAAGAGAACCTGAAACAYGACAGTCAACTTCATCTTGGACAAAATAAAGGTTATCCAGACTTGCCAACATGGGTTACAGAGTACAAACTAGACTTAATACATATTCATGAGGAAAAAGGCGGATTTGGGAGTGAAGGACACTAATAGATACAATTTGCCTCTAATAAGGTTTCCGATGCAACCTTCTATGGCATCTCTTGCACCAAGATGGWTATCTTCCAACTTCAGTGTGTCTGAAAATCTGCCCAGCCAGCCACACTTAATGGCTTGTGTCCATGGTTCACAAACCTAACTGGGAGGCATTTAGGCAGTCTCCGGCAGGCGCTACTGGGCTAAAACAGTTCAGAATCTTCACCAATGACTTGAAAGTGAAGGTAGACTGCTCCCACATCAAATTTGCAGATGACATCAGCCTGGGAGGCCAGGAAGTGGTTACAGTGTTAGAAAACAGGCGCTACTCAGAAGGTCCTCAACATTTTAGAGGACTGAGCTGACAGGAATCTCATGACAGTGAACAGAGATGACTGTGAAGTCTTGCAAGTGGCACAGAATAACACATCCAGCACATCAGATTTGGGAYGGATGGGTTAGGGAACAATCATGTAAAACACAGCTGTGAGGCTCAACAAACTGAAGAGTCAGCAGTGGCATCATGTGGCAATAAGGGTCAACCACATTTCAGGCTGCTGCACTGGATCTGTCTGGGACACAGTAAACTCTTCACAGCAGCCCTCATGGAGATGTGCTTGRGATTTGTAGCTAAACCAGCGTTGGTAACACTCATTAATAAGAGAAACGGATGCTTTTCCTTATTGCTGAAAAATGTGCGTGCAGAATCAAGGGGCACTCTCTCTTTTCCACCATGTCCCTAGTGAGTAGGCTGGGTCTGGACATGAGAAGGGACCCAGCCAGGACAGCTGACCAAAGCCAACCAAAGGGATATTCCATACAACATGATRTCATGCTGAGCAGTTAAAACTCAGGGAAGGAAGGAGGAGGGGTAGTTATTTGTTGTTATAGTGTTTGCCTGAACCTTTGTTTGCTATAACTTTTGGAAATGTGGTTATGGTAAAGGATCTGGGGCTCAATTCATAAAGGAGCAGCTGAGGGAGCTGGGGTTGTTTAACATAGAGAAAAGGAGGCTCAGGGGAGACCTCAACACTTTGTACAACTGTCTTAATGGAGTTTGTAGACAGGTGATGTCAGTCTCTTTTCCTAGGAAATAAGCAACAGGACAATAGTAAATGGCTTTAGGTTGCACCATGAGAGAGACTAACACTGGCTGCTAGGAAAAATTTCTTYACCATAAGTGTTGTCAAGCACTGAAAAAGGCTGCCCAGGGGAATCACCATTCCTGGAGGTAGTTAAAATCTAGATGTACCAGCTGGAGACATGGTTAGTGGTGGACCTGGAAGTGCTGGACACAATAACATTACAGGCTTTTCCCAAACTAAACAATTCTATGATTCTTTCCAAACAACCATTATGCATGCTGAGGCCCTGCTTTCCAGGAAGCAGCCAAACACCTGCCTCCCAGGGAGGAGGGAAGGAATTCTTTTTGCTTGGCTAGTGTGTGCAAKCTGTGGCTTTCCCTATTAAAACATCATTATCTTGATCCATAAGTCTTCTTGTCTTGCTTCTATTGTTTCCTTATCCCAAGGGAGAGTGATCGCACAGCTRTGTGGATGTTTGGGTTAAACCTGGTCAACAGCTTCCACTGCTGCACTGGCAAAAGTGCAGACAAGTCAAAGGAYGTTGTTCTTCCCCAGCAGTCAGCATTCATTGCTGTATCTGAGTACTGTATACAGTTCTCCCCCTCAGCACCCAGTGAATGAGATACTGACAAATTAGACAAAAAACAGTTGAAGGTCACTTAGTTGTTTAGAGGGCACATGACAATGAAGGAAAAGCTACAAGGAACTGGGTTTTTTAGTCATAGAAGGACTGGGGTAGGGGAAGAAGGTTGGATGTCTGCACAATTTCTGTCCTCTCCATTACATCCACTTAAGACAGCTTAAAGCAGAAGTAAATGTGCCACATCTACACAATAAAAAGAYGTGAGGCAATCGAGAACCTCTAGCGAGGCAATTTCACAGATATAAAGGAGGGATGTGAAAGGAACCTATTSCATGGACGAGGTTGCCCTGCACATAACGGAAATACAAACTCAGCTTTGGAGATCTTCAAGATCCAACCAGACRAGGCTCTGAGTGACCTTATCTATTTTGATGTTAGCCTGGCTTTGAGACAAGGGCTAAACTAGATGACCTCTAGAGGCCAACTTAATTATTTCATTTCTGTATAATATTCTGCATAGTATATTTCTATACTTGTATACTGTATAGAGATGCTTTTGGAATATTCCTCTTATTAAACCAAATACATAGCTTCAAGACATGCTCAGCCCAATTTCAGACTAGCTGTCAAAAGTTGTCCCACCTCCTCCCCAGCACAGTTACTGTTGTGACTACACTTTCCTTCCTCCAACACCATAGAATGAGTGCTGGCACCAAGAGGAACCACKGAGCTCTGACCTGAGTTAGCTAAGGCCTGTCAGCATCAGTCTAGATTACTTAATGCCACCTTTACTTCATGACCAAGCAAAAGACTTYGTTATATATCTGCAAGTTTCTTTACAGAGTAGTAACAGTTCTCAGACTCTGAGCTGCCATGGAAGTACATCAATATAAATAGAAATGAGAGACAGATTTGATTGTATATTCCTCAATCATCTAGTGAATGGTGCTATTTATTGCTCTCTATTGAAGTGTGATACTTGATTTCAGATCACTACTGTCAATAATTTGACACCAGTACAAAAGTCATTTATTATTTAGACACCTAAAGCATTTATAAGCCAAACCAACAACCTCAAAACAGCTAATTATGCACTTAAGCACAATTAGTGCTTAACAGACGGAAGTTTAAAGATTAGCTTTATAAATAAAATTACTATAATTTGCTTTGGATTCTTATTTTTATTCAAATAGCTTGAAGATGGCATATCCCCTGCATTCAACAGCAATTTTGGAGATATTAAGAAATATACTGCAGTATTTAATTTACATAAACTCATATTTAAGTGTGATACTTTATTTCAGATCACTACTGTCAATGATTTGAACAGTCTTACTGGCTCTGCTACTATTTATTTATAACAAAAGTATTATTAAAAAGATATCACAGTTCTGCTTAGACTATAAGCATATAATTTCTGAATTTAAAAGAATTGCAGGCATTTTTTTTATTTGCTTACTTTTAAATGAAAGCCTAAGTTAACTGTTAAATCATTACATTAATGAAAGTTTTAATAACTAATTAGTACTTTCTCTTGCACACGTTATATCCTTCTTGTGSTCCTCAAAAAGAAGGCAACACATCCTACGAAAATCTAATTTAAAGCAAAGAATTTTAAAACTTTTGTCCACATAGTTGAGCAAGAACATWACTTGAACTAAATCTAATACTGTTCCTACATCTGTTTGCCAGAAAGCAGGTAGWTCTTTATGCTTCAATATGCATACCGTGAAAGTATGGGAGCAATGCACATCCAACTTAAATACCAAAATTTCACATTTTCCCCATAGATTSTACTATAATCTAAAGGGTTTTCTGCACCAAAGTGTAATACTTGGGCTCTACCTTCACTTGTCAGTCTTTCACAGCTGGTATCCAAAGCAGTCATTTACCTGGATTCAGCATAATTCAGAGCCAGCACATAAACCCAGGCCTGTGACTAATCACACCGTACCATCCACAGCATGATGAATCTGGTGTTCAGCTATATAAGAGGGACCAAGCCTGTATTATGATTTTGCTTTCAAAGCCAGCTTTCAACTTAAGAAATAGCAAAAAAAACAAAGCATCATCATGTTCAAAAAAAATCCCATTTAACAGATGAGTCTCACTGAATCTTCCCTCTGAAGGAACCAAGACAAGCAGAGCTCAAATAAATTTAAGAAACAGCTAAAGCAATATTTGATTCTCCAAGCTGTGACTTGGTCCATTAGACCAAAAAAAAAAWATTAAAGGTTGGGTTGGACTCGATCTTGAGGTTCTTTTCCAACCTAAAGGAT